TGTGCTTCAGTTTCCCTATCTGTAAAATTGGGATGCTAGTAACAACTCATAGAGTTGCTGTGAGAACTAAATTAATATTCACAAAGTGATCGTTTCATTCTCTACTTTCCTGTTTCTTCACCCAGTCTCCTCCCCAACAAATCTCATTCCTCACAATCCTAGGTCTTAGGCTCTCCTCCAAACACTAACCTTTTCTCCCAGGCTACTTTTCCCCAGAACCTCTCAGGCCTTGTGTACCCTTCATGCCCCCAGGTATGCAGATTTTCCTCATCCCCAGGGCATTCATTCATTTATCTGACAAACATTTTCTGACTCCATCCTCCATCCCAGGCCTTGTGCTAGACCCTGGTGATATGGAAATGAACTAGCCATGGCCTCTGTCCTCAAAGAGTTAGTAGTCTCAGGGAGAGACAGACAGCACACACAGTACAGTAAGACAATGTGGAGACTGGGACAAACGCTTTGGAACTTAGAGGAAGGGGACTGCCAGTGACACGATACAAATCTTCCCAGAGGAGGCAGCATTCAGTAGATGAATGGACAAATAAATTGTGATATATAATAGAATGGACTATTATTTAGCAATAACAGGAAATCACCTATTTAGCCATTAAGAGACACAAGTAGATGTATCACAAAATGAAAGAAGCCAGTGTGAAAGAGCCACATACTGCATGATTCAAGTTGTATAACATTCTGGAAAAAGTATGCTTATACAGAAGGTGAACAAATTACCGATTACCAGGGGTGGTAAGGGACAGAACTGAATAGCTGAAGCATAAGGGATTTTTTTTTTAGGATAGTGAAACTATTCTATATGATACTGTAATGGTAAATACAAGACATTAAGCATTTGTCAAAGAATAAACTTTAACATATGCAAATTAAAAACATCATTTAGGAGTTGGTGGGGGTGGGGTCCCTGGATGGAATGCAGACTATTATGTGACATAAGAATCTAGGTCTGTTACACATGTATGAAACAGCCTCACTGAGGAAGGTGGAGGAATAAGGTGCTAATCTGGAATGAGTGGAGTCTGTGAGAATGGAGGCTAAAGGAACTTCACATATGCACTGTGCTTTCATTGATGAGGTGGTTTCCCACGGGGCATGGGTTAAAAATTTTGAAACCACCACGTATGTACACTGGAATTGAAAAGTAAGTTAATGTGGGATGGGTGATTTCTCACTGCTGGGGTGAGAAGTGATCAGGAAGCAAAGGGTGGATGGAGGCTGGAATGATCCATGTGGTAATGGATTAGAGTTTGGAGACATCAATGTGAACTCATGTTTAGCTTAATGTACATATGGGAGGTTACATACAGAAATATTTTTACAGGTTAGTATACATACATGTCTCCTCAGTCTACCAGCTGAGGAGGCCTAGAAGCAACCTAGCACCCAGACCTTGGTTTCTAATATCTTTCTCCAATAAAATGAACCAACTCTCTTGGAAAATGGCTGATTCTCAGACTGGGGTGGGAAATATACAAGATATCTTGGAGCATTTTGTAGTGGCAGAAAGTAAGAAAATGCTAAATAAACAACAAAAAACAAACAAGAAGTCCACCAAATGTTCTGCATGTAATTGTAGATTAATAACAACAACAACAAAAAAAGTTCACCAATCCCAAACCCCCCAAAAGAGCACCCTACAGCCAAAGCTGGAGCAATCTGAACAACAAAATAAAACAGTATTGGATTATAACTTGTATAAAATATATATCTATGGGCCCATACTGATAGAAATAACTGATTGAATAAATAAATAAATAGGGGAGAGGAGACAAATCTCCTGTACTGAAGAATTCCAAGTAATTCATATAGATTACTTAATGAGGTAATCCGCCACCATGTAAGTGTTGGCTGTGCATAACAACTTCTTCCAAAGAGTATAGTGTGTCACAGAAGAAAGAAGAGCAATTTTCCAGTACAGAAACCTGAGAAACACTACCTCAAGCCAGGTGATCAAGGTCAACATCGCACGTGGTGTCACGTTGACAGCACGCACCTCATATGATGGGATGAGAGCGGCACCTTCCGTCTGTGATCTTCCTCCCTCAAGCCTGTGACCCTGGACTGATCAGGAGAAAAACCATCAGACAAATCCCAATTTAGGAACATTCTACAAAATACCTAATCAGTCCTCCTCAGAGGTTAAAGATAGTTTAAAAAACAAGGCAAGTCTGAAAAATCATCAGAAATAAGAGAAGCCTAAAGAAATGTGATAGCTAACGTGGTGTCCTGGGGGAGGGGGACTTTCTGGAACAGAAAAAGGACAGTCAGGGAAAAACGGATAAAATGTGCATGCAATTTAGTTAATAATACATTTAGTTAATGTATCGGCATTTGTTCCCTAACTGTGAGAATTGTACCATTCTAATGTAAGATGTTTAATAGAGTGTAATGGTTAATTTTTTGTGTCAAGTTGACTGGGCCTCGGGGTGCCCAGACATTTGGTCAAACATTATTCTGAGTGTGTCTGTGAGAGTGTTTCTGGGTAGGATCACATCCACTGAACTGGTGGACTAACTAAGGCAGATGGTCCTTCCCAGGGTGGGCAGGCCTCATCCAATCAGTTGAAGACCTGAATGGAACGAAAGAAAGGCTGAGTAAGAGGGAACTTGGCCGGCCTGACTGGTGAGCTGGAATATTGGTCTTCTGGCCTCATCGGAACTTTCACCATTGACCTTCCCAGTTCTCAGGCCTTCAGGCTTGGGCTGGAACTGCACCACCAGCTCTCCTGGTCGCCAGCTTGCTGACTGCAGATCTGGGACTGCTCTGTGCCCCACAATCACCTGAGCCAATTCCTTACCATAAACATCTTTGCGCACGTGCGCGCACAGACACACACACACACACACACACACACACACACACACACACACACTCAGTTGGAGAGCCTCAACTAACATACAGGAAAAGCTGGGTGTAGGGCATACAGGAACTCCATGTACTCTCTTTGAAACAACTCTGTAAACCTAGAACTGTTCTAAAGTAAAATAAGCAGATGTAATATTTTGATCTGGGGACGGTTACCTGGGTGCATACACGTATAAAAATTCACTGAGCTGTGCACTTAAGATTTATATACCTTACTGAATATATGTTATACTATTTAAAGTGTACTTAATATAAAAATCTGAATTTACAGTTTCTCTTGGAAAAGCAGAAGATCTTGTAGTTCTGGCCTGCTCCAACTGACAACAGTTGATGGACCTGGGGGGCAGGTGCCCCTTCAGGTGGGGAAGGGGCTCTTGGCTCAGCAGTTTTCCTCTGCCCACTGTTCCCTCCTGGCCCTGGTCCCAGCTCCAGCTGTTGTCTGCTGGGAACTTTTGGGCAGTAGCCTTTTTAGGGTGGCAGGGCATGCATGAGATTTTGGGGAGCTGTGGGCACTTCTGGTGTCAGCAGATACACTGCAGCCAATGAAGACCTTTCCCACAACTGCCCCACCACCCAGTCATAAAGCCTGCCAGGCCGCAGGCCAGGGGGCAGTGGGTGGCTGGCTCTGAGCAGGCTTCTGGTCTTCCCCAGTCCCGGTCCTTCACTACCCCCAGGGCAGAGGGACAAACATCTTCTCAGGTGGCAATGCCATCTGTGCCGTCCAGTGGGAGGGGACCACGGCTCCCAGAGAACCTGCTCCTCATTCCAGGCCTGCCGTATCGCCTAATGGAGGATCAGGGATTGACTGGGATCTGCCAGGCTTGTGATGTTGGAGCTGCAGCCAGCCCTGGCACCTTGGTGTCCCGGCTCCAGCTGTGCAAGGCACTGTGGTTCCTGTCTGCTCTGTCCCAAGGCCGTCTTGTTGGTGAGCACCGGCACGGACGCTGAGAGCTCCCATTCCTTCCTGACTAGGAGGTCAGGGCTCATCCCCCCACCCAGTGGGTTGGAACAGTGGCTGGTCAGGCAGTGCAGACCAGGCCTCTGCTGCAGCTAGAAGAGGATGAGGCCCTTCCTGGGTCCACTCTGACCTTGAGACACCTTCTCTTGTTGGCACAGTGATTTTAGAGTCTCTGGGCCTGGGTGCAAGTCCCACCTCTGCTGAGCCTAATTGTGTGTGATTCTGTGCCAGCCCCTCATCCTCCGGGAACCTTCTGGAACCAGGCAAAGGGACTGCATGGGCAATGGGGGTCATGGGGGATCATGGCCAGCTCCTGAACTGTGTGACAAAATGCAAAATTTTAGGAAGAATATTCTGGAGCACGTGACATGGACGGGAGAGGAACAATGGCGGTGGGGGTGAGTGGGGGTGGGGGCTGCATGAACTCTAGCAAGTTGCTTAATCTCGACTTCTCAGTTTTCTCAATCTGTAAAGTGGGTCTCTGATGACCATGGCAAGGTTGGGATGAGGAGGTGCAGCACTAGGTCTCCCAGGAAGAGATGAGACAGACACTGGGACGAGTCGGGAATGCAGGAATGGAACAGGCCTTGGGGGTGGGATTGGGCCAAAGAGCCTCCTACCCAAGGCCAGCCTGACCACAGCCCACTACCTAAAGGGGGCCAGCTATGAGAGGAGCCTCGAGTTAGGCAGAAATGGGCACATCCCAGCCCCGCCGTGCTCAGTCAGTGGTCAATAGCTCCTGGGAAGGGCAAAGCATCAGCTGAGATGTATCCTGAAGGGACCGACAGCCAGAGCCTGTTAGCTCATTCATTCTGCCCCCATGCCGGGCACGGTCTTTCCCCGGGAGCTCTGAGCAGCACCTGCCAAGAGTCAGTGAGATGGGGCTTGGGAAAAGCCCCTGGGCACTTGCTTCTCCCTCTAATGTCCACCTGGGTCTGGCAGGCATCATTCACAGGATGAGTGGCCAGCACCCACCCCAGCTCTGGGAGAAGCAAGTCGGGTTCTTACCCAGGGATACTTCCTGACACTTGCTCTGGGCTGGGCCCAGGATCTAAAAAGGGCCCCTGCCCACCTGGAGTTCACAATAGAGGGGGCTTGTGCCCCAGGACTCAACTTTTGGCAGTCAAATAGTGGGTCCTTCAGGGTGAACAAGTGGGGTGAAAGCTGTCCACCTGGGCTCAGCGATCCTTTATTATGAGAGAGACAGATCTGGGCAAGGGGGCTTGGTGGAGGAGCAGGAGTGGGGTGAGGGCAGAGCCCACCGGGGCGGAGGCTGCCAGCCGGAGGCGGCGGGATTCCAGGAGCACACGGGCGGGCAGTGGTTGTGGTTCCGAGTCCTGGGCTGCCTCCGGCATCTGTGCGGGCTCAGCGAGACATCATTCGCACAAACTCTGCTAAGACAAAGCCATGATTTTGGGTCTGCTCTCTGGACCCCATTAGGGGTGAGACCAGAAAAGGGGCCTTGAGGTAGGAGGGAGTGCAGTCAAGGGAAAGGCCTGCAAGGGGGTCCTCTGGGCCTGATAGGGAATGGGCTGCTAGCCTGGGAAAGAGGGGTTTTGTCTTAGGGACAAGAAAATCTTGTAACTGAACCTGTTTTCCTCTTTTTTTGGCCACTAGGAATCTCAGGAGCAATGCTGAGGCCTACTTTGGAGAATTTCTACATACCTATTTTCCTGGACTCCCTGTTGTTATTTAACCCTTGTTTTCCCTTGGTGGGAATGCAGTCAGGGGAAGGGCAGCGCTCTGGCCGGGCCCCTGGATTCGAACATTGGACCACCCACCTCTGTTGCCAGGAACCCACACTTTCTACGAAATTACTTTCTCCTTATGCCTCTGGGGATAATAATAGTTCCTTCCTCCTGGATTCCCGTGACCATTCACTGGGGGAGGACACAGGTGAAGCCCAGGGCCAGGCGCACGGTGCTGATGCCCCCTTTCTCGCCTCTCTGTCTGCTGAAATCCTGCCAGGGTGCGTGGTGCTGACTATGGTGGGTGGTGGGCAGTACCTTCAAAGTCGACCAGGCCGTCCCCATTGAGGTCAATGTCATGGAGGATCTCATCCACCTCTCGCTGGCTGAGGCGCTCCCCCAGCAGGGCCTTGAGGCCTGCCCGGAGCTCCCCTAAGCTGATGCAGCCATCCCCATTGGCATCGAACTGTAGTGACATTGGTCATTGCATGAGGTCACTGACCAAATCATTCACTTAGCTCAGCGCACCCCTCACAGCAGCCCCGTAGGCATTCCCCTCACAGCGGCCCTGTAGGCACCCCTCCAACAGCAGCCCCGTAGGCGCTCCCCCACAGCAGCCCCATAGGCACCCCCTCACAGCGGCCCCGTAGGCACACCCCCAACAGCAGCCCCATAGGCATCCCCCCACAGCAGCCCCGTAGGCACCCCCTGCCTTCCAGCCCCAGTGAGCGCACCTCCCGAAAGGCGTCCCGCAGCTCCCTGACACCAATCATGTCCGCTGTCTCTGCCAGCAGCTTGGGGCCCATCAGCTCCACGAAGTCTCCAAAGTCCACCTTCCCGCCGCCTGGGGGCCATGCCGTTGGAGACACTGGGACATCCGAGACGAGACCCCTGCCCAGCCCTGCCCTGCCCTCTGCCCTCCCTTCTGGCCTTGTCCCTGTGCTCCTGGCCTCCCCCTGCCCCACATGGGCCCTGCCCTCCTCTAGGCCCAACAGGCTGGTCATCCATGTCTCCTGACAGCTTCCTTCACTTTCCTGACCAGTTCAACCAGGGTCAATCCTGGCTCCAGTGACCTGGCTGTGTGGCCTTCCACAGGCCATTTGACCTTTCTGAGACTCAGTTTCCTCATCTAAAAATGGTGCTAATGTGCCGTGTCCCACCCACCTCCTAGGGGTGGGAAAACTTCCTGGAGGAGAACTTGCACTGAGATGACCGAGTCCTGGGCCCTGGCTCTGGAAACCAGCCTGTGCAGGCCCCTCTGTTCCGCAGGACGCCCAGCTGAGCTGGCCATGGCCATGACCTCTGGGGACCTGGGGGTGGGGCAGGTCTGAGGCACATACTGACTCGCTGTGAAATCTCGATGAGCTCCATCTCCGTGGGCATGTAGCCCAGTGTCCGCATGCAGGCGCCCAGCTCCCGGTAGCCGATGTAGCCATCCCGGTCTCGGTCAAACTCCTGGAAGGCAGCCTGCAGCTCTGCCAGGTAGGGTGGAGTCAGTCCTTCCCCTGCATCCCCTCGGACCCCAGCCTGGGCCAGCCCACCCTTCTCCCCTTGGGCCAATCAGGCCTTCTAAACATCAGCTTCTCTTTACTGCCTCAGGGCCCTTGCACATGGTATTTATGCATTCTTTTAGCAAATACTGAAGGAGCATCTGCTATACGCCAAGCTGTTTTAGGTACTGGGAATATGGTAGGGAAGGAAAGAAGGAAGGAAGGAAACAGGAGGGAGGGAGGCAGGGAGGAAGAGAGAGAAACAAATCCCTGAGCTCATGGAGCTCGTACTCTGGAACACTCTCCTCTCCGCTTTGCTCCTTATGTCACCTACTCAAAGGAGCCTTCCCTCTAAATTTTGTCCCCTCCAGCCCATAGATTATTTCCTTGACAACACTTAGCACCATTTGTACTTAGAGCTGACTTAATGACATCTGTCTTCAGAAGACATGGGCCATATCTGTCCAGTTTGCACGTTTCCCAGTGCTCAGCACAGGGACAAGCACACAGTGGACACACAGGAAGTGCTCCCTGAAGCCCATGACCTGCCTTGCAGATGAGGCAAGGGAACGGACAGCTGTCAGCTCCCCCCGCTCCGTCTCGTCCTCTGTCCTGGCACGGGTCCCCGTGGCATTCTTCTTCCTCCTAGTTCCCCCTGGACACTGCTGAGGACCCCGCCCCATTTCCCACCCCATGCCCCCCCAAACCTGTGGTTCTTCCCCAAACTCTTTACCTTCGATCTCCTCTGGCCGCAGCTCCCGGTCCTGAGGGGGCACAGAGAAGGCAAGAACTTCCTGGGTCACTGTGAGCGCCTTGTACCCCTTTCTCCCTGCTCTTTGGGGCGTCCCACTCAGCCCCCCACAGCATGCGTGCACAGGGCCTGCGTCCCCTGATGCTGCTCAGACGGGGTCCGCCCACCCACCCCTGCTGACTGTGCGGGCCTCTTTCATCCCCATTCACTGCCCCTCTGCCAGACCTCCCCTAGGGCCGACCCCTGCCACCCTGCGCTTCTAGGGCACGGAGCTCACTTGCCAGAGGTGGGTCTGGGGCTGGGCAGAAGCTCAGGCGTGGCCCTGGGGGCCTCAGGGTCACTGTATGTCTCTCTTGCTCGCTATCCCTCTGCAGAACCCTGTGACCCCTGCCCACCCTCCCGGGGGCTGTTGCAGCTGGTTCTCTGGGTCTCTCTCTGCCCCTTTTCTCCCTTTCCTGGGAGTCTCCCTGGGACCCCGCGATGGTTGATCTCATTTGTTTCTCTGCTGCTCTCTGCCCCCCACCCCTAGACCTGTGTGACTGTACCCCAGTGTCCCCAGTCCACCCTCCCCCCATTCCTTCAGGAAAGGCAAAGTGGGGGCACAGGGGCAGGGGCAGGCAGGCCGGTGGGCAGCTGTGCACATGAGTTGGGTGGCGGCGACGCTGGCCCACAGGAAGATGCAGGCGGGCCCCACCGGGCGGCTGAGCACCACACAGCCCTGGATGCCCGGCCCAGGGCCGCCCTGCTCTTCAGGCTTGGGGCTGGGGCCCAGGCCGGGGCGGGAGTCCCCTGGGGGGCAGCCAGGCCACTGCCAGCCATCCCGCAGCAGAGCCGGCCATGAGCAGGGGCAGTGCCCTCTCCTCCCCACCCACATCCTGGGCTGGCAAGGTCCACCTCTACCTCCTCTGGGCAAGCTGAGGCCCAGGAAAGGCAGGAGGTTTGGCCAAGGTCATGCAGAAAGCCAGTGGCTGAGTGAGACCACGAACTCAGTCTCTGCGTCTCCCAGGCCAAGCCTGACCAGCAAGGGCAG